TCTGGTTTGATCCCAGTTTTAGGTCTTGTCCAAAACAGAGGTGAGTTTCTAGATCACCCCTAATTTGGGCTCTTTTAGAATAAATGAAAAGATTTAGGTGAATCAGAGACTCTGTCAAACCTTTATTCTACACCGAAAGCAATATTAAACAACATTCATATACTACACACACTAGAATCAACCTCTGCTGCTTTTGAGATTTGTGTGTGTGTGTGTGTGTGTGTGTGTGTGTGTGTGTACATCTGCCCCGTCCGAGACTCCTTACTTTTGTGGGATAGCACACACATGTAGCTTTGCCCACAACTGGGTGACTACGTCCTTAGAGGAAGGCATTCTGATCCCTTTTATTTGCTGAGCGTGAATAAGTGGATGAGAGAAAATCCAGTGAAAACTCCATTATCTCAGTGGAACCAGGGCTCAATGGAAAAGACTCTCTCTGCTCTTCACCAGAAATTTCTCACAAGAGCTTTGCAAGCATTTCATGTTATATTATTTCAATTGTCTTCTGGGAAAGACTATATAACAGAGATTTGGGTATGGTTTCTTTCTTTCTTTTTCTGTTCTTTCCTTTCTTTCTTTCTTTCTTTCTTTTTTTAAGATAAGATTTCTCTCTGTCACCTAGGCTGCAGTGCGGTGGCACAATGGTCATATAGCTCACTGCAGCCTCAAACTCCTAGGCTTAAGCTATCCTCTTTTCTCAGGCTTCCAAGTAGCTGGGACTATAGGCATGTGCCACCAAGCCTGGCTAATTTTTTTATTTTTATTTTTGTAGATATGGGGTCTTGCTATGTTGCCCAGAGTCATCTAAAACTCCTGGCCTTAAGTGATCTTCCCACCTCGGCTTCACAACGTGCTGGGATCACAGGCATGAACCACCAAGCCTGGCCTGGGTATGATTTCTTAATAGTCATGTTTATTAACTTTATTTTCCAAGAGAAAAATCCACTAAATTACACAGTGTTCGCAGGGCTTTAGGTGTAGGAAGATAAATCTGACTTATCCCGGGTAAGGTGGCTCACTCACACCTGTAATTTCAATGCTTTGAGAAGCTGAGGCAGGAGAATCACTTGAGGCCAGGTGTTTGAGACCAGCATGGACAACACAGCGAGACCCCATTTCTAAAAAAGTTTTTTAAAAATTATCTGGGTATGATGGCGCGTGACTGTAGTCCCAGCTACTTGGGAGGCTGAGGCAGGAGGATTGTTTGAGCCCAGGAGTTCAAGGCTACAGTGAGCTATGATCCTACCACTGCACTCCTGCCTGGGCAATACAGGGAGACCCTGTTTCTGAAAGAAAATATATTTTAGATGACTCAAAAGCACTTTCCAAGGAAGGAAGGTATTATTGAAGACTATTCTGAATCAGGTATATTCACGGGGAATAACTTTTTCTATTCTAACACTGATTTAATAGTTTGACATTTGGTATTTTGCTTGATTCTCATTAACAATTATATATTATAACCCCCATTTTATAGATGCAGAGAGATTCATAGAGCTTAAACAACTCCCTTAAAACGTTAGGCCTTTCCGACTTTATAACTCATTTTATTTTGCTCCACTGATGCTCTCCTGTCGATCTCCTACATTCAGAAATCAACTGTGCTTGTATGTGACCCTGACACGTAGACCAGGGTGGCACACTCAGCTCCCTCGAGTGAGCTAAGCAGGAAAAGAAAAGTGGAAGACAGATAACTATGGCACCTAAGCTTCTCATCATGAACTGGGTGTTGATTAACTCACCTGACCATAACATTGGGTGTACACAGCAGCTAAGACTCACAGAATAGTTGGGAGACAACACCCTGAAAGCATGGGCATCCATCTTACAAGGTGCAATATGTGCTTTGAATGAAAGTCTGTTATCTAGTGTTGTTTACCCCATAGCTAGAAGATAGGGGCTCAGGAGTCAGGGGGTGGAAGTGGGAGAAGCTCTTTGACTATTACACCTGATAACCCACTCACAGAATTTTTGTTTCCCAGTGACTTTGAGCTCTGCTGGTTTGAAGGACTTAGTCTCCAAGTGGAGATCGCATCCACCACTGAACACAGCAATGGGTTTCATACACTTGGAAGATGAGAATTGAAAGGACAGTCTTACTAATTGGGCTAGCAAGGAAAATGAATTTCTAACTGGCAGCCACTTAGAGTGGTATGAACTCTATTTCTAAGGGTAGAACATGAATACCTCTCCCACAGAGATGTTTACCTAGCAATGAAAAGAAGCTGAGCTAACAAAGGAAAGCGTAAATCTTCATTCACTTTCGCTGGAGCTGGTCAATTCACATTCCAAAGGGAAAGGAGTCTCCAGGACAGGGGGCGGAAAGGGTAAACAATCTGGTCAACTGTCATTTTAGATTCGCAACCTATAGACAAAAAGTTTTTTTTTTGAGTTTGTTTAAACTGCCTTGAAGGGATCCTGGGCCGACAGCAGAGGCATGAGCTCTTCAAGGAGAGACGGCACCATATGTCTCTTGCTATCAAAAAGAAAGAAGAAACCAATTCCTGTTATCAACCTGCTATGTAAGAAACAGAAAAAGACGAACTCAGCGGTTTCTCAGCTGTCCTCTACTAACTGGGTTACAATCACAAATGTCCCCCTACCCCTCCTCAGCCTGCCCTACCTAATTAACAGTTAGAGTCGTTTGGCCTCAGGGCCAGCGCCTCTATTTTCTGGTGCTGTGCCCTCTTTCTCTTCAGAGAAAGAGTAAAACAAACTTGGTGCTTCTTTCTATCCTAACCTTTGTCTGAGAATTCTTTCTCAGGACGGCACACCCTAACAAGAATGTATATACTACTGACCCAAAGGCAAATAAAAGGATTGCAGTAGTTCCCCCCGTCCCCTTATGTGAGATTTCGCTTTTTGATGTTTCAGTTACACACAGTCAACCTTGGTCCAAAATTATTATGTGGAAAATTCCAGAAATAAACAATTCATAAATTTTAAATTGCGTGCCGTTCTAAGTAGCACGATGAAATCTTGCACGCTCTCATTCCATCCTACCTGGGACGTGAATCATCACTTCTTCCAGCGTATCGTGCTGTATACACTACCTACCCATTTGCCATTTAGTAGCTATTTCAGTTGTCAGATCAGCTATGGAAGTGCTTGTTTTTCCCTCTAGGTTAGTATAGTGAATTTTATTAGATTTCCCGATACTGAACCATTCTTTCATTCCCAGAATAAATTCTTCATGGCCATTATTTATTGTTTTATTAATTCACCATAGGATTCTATTTGCTAATATTTTATTTAGATTTTTTGTATGTATATTCATAAATTGGGTTATGATTTTTTTTATGTTGAGGTTAACATTGAAAGAGGCTTTAAATTATTCTCAAAGTGCTCACATGCCTGGTCAAAATTATTATTACTAATAATGCACTGTGGATTGTGAATGATTTATTTAAAAGTAATAATTAGATGAGAGTCAAAGTTTCTCACATAACAATGCCATTTCCCTTTACCTGAATCATTATTCTAGGCTTTATTTAATGCTTTATTGCAGAGGAGAGAAAGATGTGGCTTATGTTGGTGGGAATCGTGGAAAATGGACTCAATCCTGGGTAAACCCATGAAAGTGTACAATGCTTGTGAAAATGCATAGTGGAAAGGTTGCAAAATGCTTTCTCAAGTACCAGGAATCTTGATGTAATCAGAACTATTAAAATAATTGGGTAAACTGAGCTAGCAAAATGCAGGAGGCTGATAAATTTTAGAACAAGAGTGTAATTAAATGAGAAACTTTGGGCTATGCTATATCTCAGAAGTGACATAATGTCTCATTTGACTCTTGTAACAGCTGGGAAAGTTTAAGCAGGGTACGCAGCTACAACTATCTAATGAATAATGGATAGTTTAGTGTTCTAACTAATAAAGAATCTTGAGCTTAGATGTTCCTAATTTTATTGAGTTGCGACTAAGCATCCTCTCCTACCCCCTAAAAGCAATATATAGAATCTATTAGCCTTTATAGTAAAATGAATTCAGATTAATTTTTCTTTTATTATTTATTTATTTTTTTAGAGACAGGGTCTTGCTCTGTCGCCCAGACTGAAAGTGCAGTGGTGGGATCACAGCTCACTGTAACCTTGAACTCCTGGGCTCCAGCAATCCTCTTGCCTCAGGCTGTGGTGTAGCTAGGACCACAGATGCATGCCACCATGCCTGGCTAATTAATTTTTATAGAGATGGGGCTTTGCTTATGTTGCCTAGGCTGGTTTTGAATTCTTGGCCTCGAGCTATCTTTCTGTCTCAGCCTGCCAAAGTGCTGGGACTACAGATTTGAGCCACTGTGCCTGGCTAATTTTTCTTTTCAAAGAAGTGGAAGACACCCCTCAAATAAATTGAAGCACTTTGAGTTTTGGCAAAGCTGGTGTTGATCATATCTTCAGCCTCTTAAGAAAGGAAAGAACTGACTTGTGGGCATCTTGGTTTTTTGCCATTAGAGACCCCACCCCAGGGGAAAATGATACATTATGGTTTTTAAGAATTCCAGGATATTAGTGCCTGAATTGACATACCAACAAACTAATAAGGTATCAATAGTATACCTAAAATAGTGTACCAACAAAACAAAGTTGTGCGTGTGTTTAGAAAGGTGAATGGGATTTGTGCTAGTTTGTAAAGTGCATTCTTTTAGACAAAAGCTAGAAACAAATAGTAAGCACCTTAATATTTAGTTGTATACCTGCTTACAGTTTAAAGAGGTTTCCAGATACAGGATCTCATTTGATTCCCACAAAACCCCTGAGAATTAAGCAAGGTAGGTATCTTGTTTACAGGTGCATAAACAAGCTTACCAAAGCCAAATAACTATCCTAGGTCACACAGCTAGTGACTTGCTGGGAAGTTCTATTTCACAATTTTTTCCACTGTATTATATAAGCTTATACCAAAAAACAAACAATAATTGAAACCAAGCATGGGAGGTTGGGGATAGGGTAGGGGGCAGGGATTATGCCCATGAGAACTAGGAAATTCGAGATGGAGGCAGCAGCTTCTGGAAATGTCAGTTTTATTAAACATTTATGGACTTTTGGAGATTTGAGAAGAAATATACAGAATGTAGAAAAATCCTAAGAATCCCCTGTGGCTAGAGTGCAGCCTCTTCCTTTCCCCTCCGCTGGTTCCCATTTGTTTTTCCTGCTTTCTGTTTGGTTGTTTAAACATCATTTCTTAAGACTCATTTGCCCCTCTTCACCGCCTGACCTGTGAGGATCCTGATCTCTCTCTCTGTCCTTCCCCAGGACCTTGAGTCCCAGAACAGTGCTCCAAAGCAGTCAGGGGCACCAACGCCATAGCCAAGGTTTGAGAATCAGGCCCCTCTGCTTGGGCTGGCTCTCCATTAAGGACTTAAGGGGGGCAAGGAATTGCAAAAGCCACATGACGTCATTGGTCTTCAGTCATGGGAGTAAGGACAGAGCATGGGCACAGGTAAACAAACAAACAAACAAAGCATGGATTAAAAATAAAAAATAATCAACAACCTAAATAAACCCTGAAGGAGAGTGTGATCTGGGTGATCTGGGTGTTAGCTGGGAGGACAGAGTATGAAGCTGGGCCACCTGATAGAGGGGAGGGAGGAAGGGGGGACGGGAGAAGAAAGAGCCAGAGGGACAGGCTAAGTGGTGCAGGGAACGGGAATGCCAGGTGGCCTGGAGTTGAGGCAGAGGGTATCAAGGTCCCTTTCTTCTCAGTGCCTGAGGGACAGGCACCAAACACACAGCCCTTGGGGCAGATGAGGAGTGGGATCAGCCCCTGGGCTCCCAGAAAGCCAAGGGGTGAAGGTGGCGGAGAATACAAGCGCCTAGGGAACGAATCCTGGAATGAAACTTACATCTCGAAGGGAGGTGAGGGCAGGGCAGGGCGGGGCGGGGGGAGCAAGAGAGGAAAGCACCTAGACGGGAATAAGAGGAGCCTAGGTCTCCCTGCTCCGGCAGGGCCTGGTGGGTGGTGATCACTTGTCCGAGTCCAGGCCCATCATGTTCTTGAGGGCGTTTTTGAGGCTGGTTCTGCTGGGGGACTTGACAGCTGGCCGGAGCTCCGAGCTCTGCTCATCCTTTCGTAGTTCCATCTCGATGACCACCACCTTAGAGGCTTTGGCGGGCTCCGCCCCTAACCCCCGAGCCCCCGCCCGGCCCGCTAACCGCTATTTCTTATCCTTGCGAGACTCCCCCAGGCCCTTGGCCTTCTTCTCACTGGCAGCTTTGGCGCTTCTGGTGTGGTCCAGCATGGCATACAGCACGGGCGTCTGGGGGCGGGGGTGCACACATCAGTCACCGACCTGGTGGGGCTTGACTGTCTCCATCCCACCCCTCGCAGCTGCTCGGCCGCTCCCAGGATTCTCCTCCCCAGATTATCCAGGCCCCAAGTGCCGCTAACCTGCCGCCCGCGCTTCGACGTATCCTTCGCAGGCTTGTGCAATTTCCCCTTCTCCATGGCACTGCAGAAAAAGCGGGTGCTGTGGGTTCGGCCTCGGCAGAGCCCCTTGCACAGCGGATACAGCTTCTTCTTTCCTTTGGCCCTTGCACCCGCTGAAGCAGTCTCCTCCCAGATGGGGGTGGGGGGTTAGCGGGAGGGGAGTCAGGCTCCGCCCCTTACCTGAGCCGCCTCTGCAGGGCCGCCTGCCTGCGCAGCCAGCAGTACCGAACCAGGTAGAAAAGCAGCAGCACCAGCAGCACCACCCCGAGGACACCCCCAATCACGGCTCCCAGCACCACCCCGTACCTCGTTGGCACTAGGATGGGAGGGAAAAGAAGTGGGCGGGTGAGCAGGGACCTGTATCTCTGGTTTCTAGTCCCACACCTGTTCCCTGCGGTTGAGGATGTAGGACTCCCAGCTAAGGCTGCCTTCTGCCCACCCTCCTAGAGCCAAGGTCATTAGGCTGGGCCTTTTGCCTCTTCCCCCATCCTATCGATCCTCCCTGGTCCCCTCCCTGAACTGCCTCCCAGAACCCTGTCCCTACACACCTTTTTCAAAGACATAGAGTGTGACCTGAGAAGTCTTGCCCACTATGTCTGGAGGGTTTTTGACGTCACAAGTGAAAGTGCCATTGTCACTGTAGTCTAGGTTGTGTATGACAATGGAGCCATCCTTCCAGCGAGGGTCCCCTACCCACTGGATACGCTCTTTGAAGGTCCCCACCTCGTCGATGTAGGGTTGTCCCTTGGCATAGTGGAAGATCTATGAGGAACAAGAGGAAGCATGTGAAAGAACCCCAGTGAGAACAGGGCTGTCAAAGCTTAGCTCCAGGCTCGGAGTAAGGGATCTTGGCATGAAGAGGGTTGTTGAGGGGGAGGGAAGACAATGCACACAGGCACTAGTCAGAGTGACAAAGCTTGCCACTTACCTTGCCAAAGTTGGGGTTGTGGCTCATAAAGGATATCCCCCTCCTTAGCCCAAGTTCTCTTTTCTATTGTTCTTTGAAGAACCCTTTCTGTTATCCAACCCAGGATTCCCCCAGACACTCACCGAAATGGCATCTCGGCCCCCTTCAGGCTGGTAGCGCCAGGTGAAGGAGATGTCATCTGAGACCCACTCACTGGACCAGAAGGAGCAGTGCAGGGTCACCCGGGAGCCCACAGCACCATGGACCTCCCTGTCCGTGTAAACCACAATGGCCTGGGCCGGGGACAGCACTGCAAGCACAGAGGGAGAATCAAATACATATGTGGGCCCAGTAGGGGTATAGAGGGAGTGACATTAATAGGAAGTCAAGGGCTAAGTCATAGGTCAGAGGCCATAGCAAAGATTGGGAAAGAAACGATAAATTCTGAGGCCCAAATCTCTCTTTGCACTGAACAGATGAGCATAAATGCTGTGTCTGTTCAAGCTCTTTTGGCATGTCTGTAGAGGAAATGAAATCATCAGTAACAGAATTCTCTTTTCTTTTTTTCTCCCCAAGACCTGTTGTACCCCTCAAGCAAAGAGAAACCACTGTAGGGGCAATCTGGGGTCCTGAGGAGATCTTTTCTCTCTCTCCCCATGATGAAAGTCACTCATGTGAAGCTGAATGTAACTTTGCAGAGCAGAGAGAGAAAGCATTCTCCTGAGGACTTCTAGAAGTTGCATTCTGTTACCAAGTCTTGCTTTCCCTTTGGGTCAGTTTCTAACTCTTAAGCTACCCTTCCGACACAGAGTTTTAAATTTTTTAAATTTTTTTATAAATTATATAGGTAATACATACTGCATTCTTCTTATAAACTAGTCAAGCAATAGAAATAAAGCTAAAGTCTCCCTTTACACCCACCTAACCAATTCCTTTCCTGTAGTCAGTCCCCTCCCAGATATAAACACTGTTACCAGTTTAATGTGTAGCTTTTCCTAAAAATCAAACTCAATATAAACTCAATAAATTCAAGATATACATGTACTTATAACAAATAGTTTTATTTTGTGGAGCTTTTCTTTCTTTACAGACACATTGCATTATACTCTACTTTTTTTTTTTTTTTGCTTAAGAATATATGTATCTGGGAGAGTTTCCATGTTGATTTCAATCTTAATTTTAACAGCTGCATAGTATTTCATAGTACAGAAAACCCAAATTTCTTGCAGAAAAAAAATGAAGCTAACTAGAGAGTGTAAGTCTTCCTCCCTGGTACAACTGTCCTTGCTGTTGAATCTCTGGTTGCCACACAGCTTGCTCGTGACTGGAGAGACAGGGAGGAAAGGACATTATTTACCCCTCAGCTGGGTGCAGAGCAAGACCCCACGCCCAGAACTCTGCGTGTGAGTCCTCTGTGGTTTAACAGTCCTTACCCTCCTTTTGGCCACTCTGCCCCAGTGCCACCCTCAGGACTCACCCACACAAGGAAGGTCATTCCAGAAAGACTGTGTGTGTGGGCTGGCCCTGGGTAGGGCAACTGTAGACCCTTTTGTTCTATAGGAGGAGGAGGCCACCAAACAAACAAAGTCCCATTGTCAGACCAATGTTGGGGGGCTTATGCCACCCCCACCCCCATTGTCCTGAATTTCCCACCTCAGCATGCAGTATCATTTACTCACCTCCTGGGACTTCTGCCTTAGAGCCTTTGCGGGAATCCCCAATGTAACTAGGGAGGTCATTCACCGGATTTAACTTCTATTCCTCCTATTATATCAGCCATTACCCTTCTCAGCTCTGCTCAATGGTTCTATGAATGGGACAGGTGCTGGGACAGAACTCTCCCTCCCCCTTATGCTCCAAGATTTCTTCTCCCCATTTCTCTTACCATCCCTTTTTCCAACTGCCTGTCCTTAACATTTTCCCAGGGTACCTTAGTCCAGTACAGCTCAGAAGAGTCTAGGACCCAAGGAGCTGACAGCAGAGAACCTCAAGCATTCTCACCAGCCCCTCTTCCCTCACTGTCCCCCGCCCCCACCCCAGCTTGCCTACACTGCTCACTGACTGTGCTAGGATTCAGGGCAGTTCAGAGAAGGAAGGATCCGTTCAAATTACCTTGCTTTGACCTTCTCTTGCTCACCCACCATCTGCCAGAGGGGCAAGGAAAGGGTTGGTCAACTTGTGAAGAAAGATAACTTTAGAAGGACAAGATCCTAGAATCTCATAGAACTTCCCTTCTACTCTATTCACTCACATAACAGACAAGGAGCCGCAGAGAGAAACTGAGGCACTAAGAATCAAAGGATCTGAGGAACTAAAAACCACAAACCTTGGGCTCCCTCCTTAGATCACACTGTCTGACTTCTCTCTTCTGGGAAACTAAGGTTAGATTCCTCTTGCACTACCAGGGGATAAATGAGGACCAGAATCTGGGTGTTTGATCCTGCTCCTTCTCATGCTCCAAGATTGCTCCCTCCCAGACTCTTAGCATGGCTCCGGGGGCATGTTACTGATTTCCAGCCTGGGTCCAGCCATGCCCACACAGGGAAGCTCTCTGCACACTTTCTCTTACCATTTCCTTTACAGAATACCTTTACTGCCCCCTTCCGAACACATATTTTTTTCTCTCTGAATATAACGTCACCTTCCTGTTCCTGCTTACTCTTTCTCTGACTGCAGTGGGTAGTGCAGTGAAGGCAGGGGAAGGTTGCTGAGAGACAACCTGAGTCCCAAGGCTCCCAGACTGAGGTGGCTCCACTTACCCAAAGAAGAGAAGAGCAGGACAGCCAGGATAGGGCCGGGGCTGGACGAGGGAGCCCCAGGAGCCATGGCTGGGGCAGGGGCAGGGGCCCAGAGTGTCTGTGGGGTTGAGAGAGTGGGGGACCAGGAACTGAGCGGGGGGTTCCTGGAACCTGCTTAAAATCCCCCGGTGCCCCAGCATGAGGGGGCTGTCCTGAGCCAGGAACCAATTGCAGCCTGGCATGTGCAGTTGAGAGGTGGTGGGGAGGGGGGCAGAGTGCAGGGAGCAGAAGGGGCATTGTATAGTCTGGGTAGAGGGGTGGGGGGACACATACCACCCCATACACAGAGGGCTTTGTGTCCACTGGCCTCCCCCTGCCCCAGGCTGGAATGTTGGGGGGGTGGGAGAGAGGGACAGAAAAAGGGATACAGACACACTTCTCTGAGGGATAGATAGGCAGGAAACCTCATTCCAAAGGCCATAAAAAGGGATTCCTCCTTAGCCTTCTTGCCTGAGAGCAGCTACCTCAGCGCTCTAGGAACTAGAGGCAGGTTTCCCCTAGAGAATGCTGAAAATAGGATGTCCCTTGTTATCTTGACTACCATGGGCTGCACTACAGATTTCTTGAGATGACCAGGTCCTTTGAGAGTCTTTATCCCCCTGCTATCTTCCTGCATCCTGGTGATACTTCCCAGATAGAAGCTTTTCTTCACTGGAATATTTCCAGGGAAGAAGCCCCTGATCTTTCCCTCTTTGTCAGGAACTCCTTTGATGTGTTGTGCTTCAGTTTTAAGTCCATTTTAATTTAGAGCAAGGTGATAAAACAGTATTGAGTGCCAGCTATATGTAAAGTATGGGAATGCAGGTAATAGAAGCAGGAATAAAAATTAAGTCCCTCCTGCAAGGAGTTAAAAATCTAGGGCATGGTGGAGGCTGGGCATGGTGGCTCATGCCTGTAATCCCAGCACTTTGGGAGGCTCAGGCAGGAGGATTACTTGAGGCCAGGAGTTTGAGACCAGCCTGGCCAACACAGTGAGACCCCATCTCTACAAAACATTTAAAAATTAGCTGGGCACAGTGGCAGGTGCCTTTAGTCTCAGCTACTCAGGAGGCTGAGGCAGGAGGATCAATTGAGCCCAGGAGTTTGAGGCTGCAGTGAGCTGCGATCATGCCACTGCACTCCAGCCTGGGAGACAGAGTGAGACCCTGTCTCTAAAAAAAAAATCCAGTTTGAGGAGGTGGAGGTGGGAGCAATTAGAAGACAAACCCATCAACAACCAATGATAATAAATCATGATACTCACTTAAGTAATGGACAAAGTGCTGGGAGTACAAAGGAGGGCACACACAGCTGCAACATCAAGATGATTAAATTATATGAGAGATTAAAAACAAAAATAAGTTTTATTCAATAAGTAAAGTTTGCAAAAAGGAGTAGTCATGTCTAGGAGGCAATGCTAGATAGGGACTGACCTTGAAGGATTGCCATTTTGGAAAGAGAGGTAGGGAAGGTAACCAGACAGATAGAATAGCAAACGCAAGGACAAAGAGTTGATAAAGTGTGTGTGTGTGTGTTGGGTATGTTTGTGAAGTATTGGGCATATTGAGGGCAGATCTTGTGCCATGCACTTTGACTTGATTTGGAGGAACTCAAAGTGGCATACAAGCACTGGACTTGTCCAGGCATAACAAGACTGGACAAGAAAGTTGAAGCCAGTTTGTGAAGGGCCTTAAATGACAGACTAAAAAGGGCAGATTTAATTTGGTTCACCATGAGAATCTCCTGAAGATTTGGGGGTGGCATTAGGGCTGGGAATGTCTACACAACCAGAGCTGACTTTTTTTTTTTTTTGAGACAGAGTCTTGTTCTGTTGCCCTGAGTAGAGTGCAGTGGTGTCATCATTGTTCTCTGCAAACTCCTGGGCTCAAGCGATCCTTCTGCCTCAGCCTCTGGAGTAGCTGGGACTACAGGCATGCACTACCACGCCCAACTAATTTTTTCTATTTTTTGTAGAGACAGGGGTCTCGCTCTTGCTCAGGTGGGTCTCGAACTCCTGAGCTCAAGCTATTCTCCCCCCTCGGACTCCCAGAGCACTGGGATTGCAAGTGAGGGCCACTGTGCCTGGCCCAGAGCTGACTTTTAAGACGTATCTGTCAAGAAAAGTCTTTCAGACACAGCTTTCTTAATTGTTACTTCCTTTGTTTTCCCCCTTGGGATCATCTGAAATGATTTTGCTTTTCACTGAGCCTCCCATATTCCCGTCTGGAATTGTTTTCCCTTCTTTCTTCCCCCTTCTTTCTCTCACCTCAGGCCTTGTCTAGACCCTGTTTCTTCCTCTTGTTGCTTCTAAGATAAGCTGGTGATAAAGGGCTTGACTTACGTTTGGTTTGACTTTCAATGTGGTTCATTCACTTCCATTAACTCCTCTAGAGTTATGGGCTCTAGAGATTAGTTTGAGTGGGATGGCCATTGTCGTTCCTGCTATGAGACCATTGCAGGCTTATCCATGTAAGGTCACAGTCTCTTGGTACCTTCCTGGTATCTCGTTAGATCACAGTCCTGGGAGGTTTGGTGAGTAGTATTAGATTTGGGTTGTAGAGCTCTAAATATGGGGCTCGATCATAAACTCCACAGGCAAATAAATCATCATCATTAACAAATGTTAATAGGATGTTGTAGTCAACATTTCTACCTAACTCCACCTCCTAACTGTAAGTAATCACTTTCTCCTTATCTATCTACCTGCTTTATCTATACTCTTTTCATGGAATAGCTACTTTCTTTGTTGTATTAATCTTTCTTTCTTTTTTAAGAGATGGGGTCTCCGTATATTGCCCAGGCTGGCTTCCAACTCCTGGCCTCAAGTGATCCTTTGGCCTCAGCCTCCAAAGTAGCTGAGACTACAGGCATATTATTGATCCTGCTAAGGCTATAAGCTTCTTGAGGACAATATGTTTGTAGTTTGGAATCCCCCACAGCACTTTTCACATACTCTGGCAAAAATGCAATGCATATGTGTTAAATGAAATTATATAAAGAACTAAATGAAGAGGCATTCTTTGGATTTGTTAATGTGAAGCTCCAGAGGGCCAAGGTAGGATTAATTATTGGAAGTTTGATAGCAGAAAACTGCATTTTACTATAATAATTTCCTAATGAATAAGCTGTTCACTAAGTGAAGCTTGTTTTTTTGTTTGTTTGTTTGTTTTTTAAGGTTTTTACATTTTTTTGCAGAGACAGGGCCTTGCTATGTTGCACATGCTGGTTTCTAACTCCTGGCCTCAAATGATCTTTATACTTCTGCCTTCCAAAGTACTAGGATTACAGGTGTGAGTGTGCCAGAAGCTTGTTTTTTGAAGTCCCACCATTGGGAGCAGAGTCTTAAAGATCTGCTGTCAGGGAGATCCCTGCACTGAATCGGTTGCATTAGAGAGGCTCTAAGGTGTTTTCCAATCCTAAAGTCTATAAAAATGCCTTTTTTTGTCGAGCATTATAGAAATACAAAATAGTATTATTCATTTGATGCATAAATAAATGAATTTGTGCTATTTAAATCCTGAAAGGAAAAGTGCAGGGGTGCTAAATATAAATAAGATCTGAATATTAGTATGACTGAGGATGTTTTATTGTAGAATAAGAGTTGCTCTGGGCCGTCCCCTTTATTCTTCCCCACCCTATCCCCCCAAAAAGGGTCAAGAACTTTTGCACTCTATTCCTTTCCTTCTTACTTGCTCTTTTTTCTCTCCTTAGTCATGAGTGCTCTGCAATTGATTCCCGTGCTTGGGTTCCTCAAAACTGTTTATATATGTAAATCAAAGCGTGTTATCCCCCTCACCCCGGGTTCTTCTGGCTGTGGGTGTCGCCCACCCAGCGCTGAAACAAGGAACAAGGGAGCGTTGTCTTGGGCTAGTGGGCGTCTGGTTCACGTTGCAGCTCAAGCCCAGGAGTTGTGGGGCCTAATCGAGGTTTCCCGTTCTTGGGCATGGTGGTCAGCGAGGTTCTCTCGAGGACCCCTCCGCATTTAGGTCTCAACTTGTGTGCCTCTGTCTGGGTGAACCTTCACATTAGAACGGGAGGGAGTCCAAAATATCTTTTTTCCTGGGTGTCTCAGACGGCCAACCACGACGTTTTTAGGCCGACCTGGCGGGGAGGGGGAGTGAAACAGACTGCGAAGTCCTCAGTGAGGAATCTGGACAAGTCGGCTCTTCGCCGTTCGGTAGCGCGATACAAAATGATTACGTATGCAGCCGGCATGGAGACTGCAGATTTTGAGCCAGCGGCGTTGCTACCGAAATCCTGGCAAATTCCGGCAGAAGTCAGCGGGGGAGGAAACGAAAGAACTACAGAAAAACCAAACCATCTGGGTAGAGCTGAGCAGAAAGGCTCCGGAGCCTTTTAGAGAGGCCGCTGTTGTCACGTGACAGCCCCCTCCCCGCAGCCGCCCTTAGGTGGCTGGGCCGCCTGACGTCACTTCCGTCCAGGCCGGAACCCAAGATGGCTGCGCTCTTGCTGAGGTGACTTTAGTGTGGGGCTGGGAGTCGGTGCCTGTGGCCCTGGGAGACCTGAAGTGGCCCCTCACGTCTTGTCGACAACTGTTTACCCTGTGGCTGGGCAGGGAAAGGATCCGTGGGTGTGAAGGTCACGCGCTCTGGAATCCTAGAAACCTCTCTCCCCATCCCCCACAAGACGCTCCGGTGCGCTCCGTAGGGCTTCGGGGTCACTTGCCTGGACTGAGCGGTTGCGCGGGTCTCTCCCCTCTTACCTCCCCCTCCTCTAGTGCTTCTTCCCAAATTGCTCTTGGGGCCATACCCAGAGCCGAGCCCTGAGACGATAAGTAGCTCTGACTTCGGGGTCAGCTGACCATCGGTCCTCAATTTCTTCCTTTTCCTTTTTCTTTTTTCTTTTTTTTTGGAGACAGGGTCTCACTCTGTCACCCAGGCTATAGTGCAGCGGCGTGATCATAGCTCGTTGCAGCCTGGAGCTCCTCTGCTCAAGCGATCCTCCCGCTTTGGCCTCCCAAAGTGCTGGGATTTCACGCGTGAGCCACTGCACCTGTCTGGTCCCACAGTTTCGAGATCTTATTTAGGGATCTCGGTGAGAGATATCGTCGTGTATTTTGTTTTTATTTCTAACTCCTGCAAACACTA